CCAGGATTGGGGAGATGAGGGAGCTGTGTCCCCAGACTTCAGTGAGGCTCTTTCTGGATATGGAGTTAACAGGGATGGCTTTTGGATTTTGGGGAATCTGGGAGAAGAGGGTATTGATATGGACAATTTTATCACTGGAGAAAACAATAGCCAAATCTCTGCTTTCTCCCAGTCTAATACCTTCGGCTACTGCCAGAGGTACCTTCACGGTGCTGGGTTGAGAAAGGGAAAGAGGCAGCTCCCCGGTGCCCACAAGCTTTCACAGGTGTGTGTGACGGGGTGGGGGGAGGTGGTCTGGGTTTCCAGAACATCAGGCACCCTTTCCCTACACTCCTATACAAACAGAATTTTACACTGAATGAAGAAAAGACTAGCAGGAATTTTTTCCCCAACAATATCTATCATTGAGAAGGGGGTTCTTAGTGTGGCTGTGTAAATCAATACTGAGCTATTTCTTTGAATTCAAAGGCTATTTATCCAGGTCTAATTTCTTTAGAATTAACGTGATAACTGAGCCCAATTTAGCAACCAAACCCAGCCAGGCCCTGCCTGGATTGAACGGTATTTCTATGGCCAAACGTGGCTACAAACCCACCTCCCGCACCAAACGCATTTCTAGGCTTACGTGTATGTAAACACCCGCCCAAAGCTGGAACCGGAGGAGACTCTCAAACCCAAAGAGTCCATTCCTCCCACAGGGGCCTGGGACCTGCTGAACTACAAGGTCTTGTGTTGGCAAGAGCAAATCCTTCTCTCTAAATAACACTGACAGCCGGGATACAAGACCTAACATCTCAACACCTTAAAAAGCAAAAGGCAGCTTAGGTCTCAAATCCTACCTCTTAAATTTCTTAGTGAATATAACCCTCACCTACACAGGCTGTAAAAGAGCCGTAGGCCTCCAACTCTTCTAGATCAGCAGGTTTACTTCTATTTTGAATGATAAAGGATTGGGAAGTCTCCCTTGCCCTCCTCCTCCCACCCTCAAAGCCTGTCACTACTAGTTCCCAGTAAAAACAAAAAGGTAGAAGCCTGGGCCTGGCTGGAGGCGAACCTGGCGCCAGGACTGGAGCTCCTGCAGTGTGCGCTTTCTCCGCGAGTCCCTGAAGAACCCAGGTGTTCCTTCTTTTCTCAGGAGGGCTGGAGGTGCAGGGTGGACTAGGGCTAACTAGGAGAAGTCCATCCGCCTCGCCCAACTCATTACCGCCGCCCGTGACATTGAGCAAGAACTGGGCAGCCGAACTGCCGCGTTCAATTGGAGAGAAATAACCGGAGCGACCTGTCCGCGCGGAAATTCTCCAACTGTGGCTGGTGGCAGAGACCACACGTGGCAGCCACTCGCAGCGTGCCACCTGGGCGCGCTAGGTGGGGGCCAGGCTGGCTCTCGGCTTCCTATTCCCGGAACTAGTGGGAAAGTGGGACTCTCCTGTTTGCAGTCAGGATTCCACTCCGCCAGCGCGCACAAACACCGCTATCAAGCCGGGAGGATGCCTCGATCCTTCCTGGCTATCTGAGCCCATCCTGGGCAACCTCATCCTGGGCAACCCCGTAGGCCTCAGCAGGGTCTTCTTCTTCTTCTTTTATTTTTCTTCAAGAAGTTAAAACTTATTAGGAAAAAATATATACTTATTATAAGAGTTACAAAAAGATGTGCAGTAAATTTAAGTCTTTTGGTCCTGGGTTCCTCTAGCAACCCAGAAGCAAGGATTGTTATTGGGTGCTTTTTCTTACTTCAGCGATATTCTATGCATACGTATAAGAGTTTGTTTTAAAAAGGAAGAAAGAAAAGGAATAATAGCGAACTACGTGCACATTTCCTCAGCAGGGTCTTCAACACACCTAACAAATGCCACGTCGCTGCAGCTGCACTCTTGCTGGGCTGGAACACAGAGTGTGGAGGCTCATCCACTACTTAGCGGCGGAGTAGGAGACCCCTGCATTTCCCACCTCCGGCAGTCCCAGCCCTCCCGGTTTCCTCAGGCATTAAGCAAAGAGGAAAAATCCCTTTGCAAATAGTGATTGCAGCACCCTGGATCGGGTGCTCAAGTGCGGGGCACCCCCATGACCGGTCCCACTTGGGTGCAGCCAGAGATGGAGAAAACCAGCGAGAAAAGCAGTACACCTGTGAACTTAAAGACAAACGCGCAGGGGGGGGGGGTGTCGCCTTCACAGTGTTAACTGCAAGCTTCAGGGTATAAAGCAATAAAACTGCCACGGCTACCTGCTCCCTTTGAGGGCATTACAAAGAGGCTCGGCGCGCAGCCCCGGTGCACCGAGACGCGCTGCGGAGAACCTTTTCTTCCCGGTACCTCTCCTTCTGCCCCTCCCAAGCCCTCCACACACATCTTCCTCTTACACAGCCCACCTTTCATTTTCCTTGAAGCTTTTTGTTCTTGTTTTAATTCATTGTCGATTTGTAAACGCGTGGATCAAGTTACTGGTTCGCGTGTTAAAGTGGACCTCTTGTTAAAAGGAGGGGAACAAGGCACACCGCTTAAAAATAAATTCAGAGTTACTGAACCAGCTCGCGAGGCCCAAGAAGTTAAGAGCGGTCTGCTGGGAAAGGGAGGGGGAGAGCAGAGCAAATTGCGCCCTGCAAGCCCTAAGCAAACCTGCGGGCAGCGAGTTTGATTGTAGGATAAAATGGAGGGAGGAAAGCAAGAAAAAGGCAAACTGGCTTGACAACGTCTGGAGACCCCAGGCTGGGAACTGGGAAAATCAATTAGCATAAGCCGCTGTCGGCGAGCTTCGAGCAATATGCAAATAAAGACCAAGCTGCTGGGTCAGCAGCCACCCTTCTCTGGAGTTACAGGACCGAGCGGCACCACTAAATTCTCCATTGCTCTGGTTCTTTAGGTAGCATGACTTATGGGGCCCAAGGGAAATAAGGTGCAAAGGAGTCCTCAATGGTTTTCCCAAAAGGGAGCCCCACGCTCGTCCCCACAACGCCTAGACAGCTCGACCCCAGGGTTGTTAGATTGTACTTTTCTGTGCAGCCAAAGGCTCGCGGTTTGAGTGTTTGCGCGGACGGTAAACCAGCGCCAAGCCCTCAGGGGTCTGCCTGTCTCGCCCACCCAGTGCCGACCCGCAGGTAGTGCAGGCGCCCGGCTCCTCCCCGCATTCCCGGGATCCGACTCCCTGAGCTGCCCGGCTCGTCCATCCCAGTGCCGGTGCCGGGCCCCGGGTCCGACTCTCCTACCTGGTGGCCAGGCATGAGCTGCGCGCCGGGGCTCCACTGTTGCTGCTCGGTTGCCTGGACATGAGTGGGTCTGAAGACCGGAGGGAGAAATACTAGTTCCACAGCCCTGGGCTGCTCCGAACTTAATGTCTTTCCCCAGTCCATCTTTGAAAGAGAAGTGGTTCTACCACCTGGATGTGCGGATATAAATCCCCTTGCAAATAATAAATGGATTAATAATAACAAGGTATGAAGTTCTTTTTATAGAAAAAAAGGAGAGAATTGAAACTAAATGCGGCAGTTAGACAACCATTTTGATAAGAGGATAATTGAGGCGACACTGGTGTATAATTAGAGGATAATTTATGCTATATCCACTTTTATTCCACCTCCCAAAATAAACCCAGTCCATAATCATTACAGGCAAATTGTTCTGAATTTTATAGCAGCAATTTGAACAAAGTACTGCAGTTAATCATGGGAGATTTTTGTGTATTCCTGATTAGAACTCTAATTGCCTCCTTCCAGAAAGTAAAAATAACTGTAAAACGACTCTATTTTTATCATTAACAATGTTGACAATAAAATAAAATCAATTGGAATTGTAATCGAGAGACAAATTTAGGACGAAGGCACTTTTACTTGGGTAGTTTATATTGTAATCAAGATTTGCCAAACCACTAACCGCATGTATCATTTGCATATATTTGAAAGCATTACAGTAGCTTCTGTTTTCAATAGGAAAAAATGCATTACTGTCAGTCCTCCAACGATTCGCTTTCAGAACAGGCTGCTGGGTTCTGAAAAAAAGATCCTCTCCACTTTTTTTTTGTTGTTGTTGTTGTTCAGTATATAAGAAATACTGCCTGAAAAGGCAGGAACCTCGCCAGAATAGACTCAGTTTTCTTTTTTTTAAATACACCCCCCTTGGGGTGGAGCCCAGGTGTAGGGGTTCCTCTTCCCTTTGTGATTTCAATAAAGTACTTCTAGAAAAAGCCACGATGACAGGGCACTCCCGTGGGAGTGGAGTGGGACTAGGCGGAGGAGAAGGTCAAGGGAGGGGGCTTGGTTTTAAATGCGGGGGAGGGCACTATTCTAAGCACAGGCAACCAGCAAGGGTGCAAGGGGACTGAGAGCAGTCCCGGGTTAGGCTGTGCTAAGGCTGCGATACTGGAACTGAAGATTTGGGGCGCAAGTTGTGTTTGGAAGCGTCGGCTGCCCGCCAGGCGGAGGCGCCTCCCTCCTCAGCAGCCCCGGGCGCTGTGTAGCGTGGATGGGGTCTGCAGCTCTTGGCTGGGATAGGAGTTGCCGAAGGTAGGCGAAGAACTCCACAAGCTGCGCACACGCCAGTAAAAGCCGTGCGCCTGTGACGTCAGGGGGCGACTGACCAATGGGGAGGCGCTGCCCTTTGGAGACAAACCATTCGACTCGTGGCGTCTGCATCAAGTCTGAAAGCAGACGCGCAACTTTCGCAGAATCCACCTTAAAATCTCTGCCTTAAACTGCACCAGCCCCCAAAAAATCTAAGGGGGGAAAGCAGGGGGGGAGAGCAGATTACCCCTCCCCCTCCCAACCCTCCCCCTTCCTCCTCCCTTTGAGTTAACAAGGCCCCGCTCACTATATCTCTTTATATTAAAATATATATATTAGAGAAGAGCGAGGGAGAGGGAGAACCACCTCTGCCCCCTCTTTAAAATTTTTTTTTTTTCTTTTGCAAGGATCCCAAGAGCTAAGGTGGCTGCAGAGGGGTGAGCGGCGCGAGCCAAGTGGGGGAGGGTGGAGGAAACCCGGGAGAAGGCTTTCTCCAGCCCCCAAAGTTTTGATGATGACCATGACTACGATGGCTGACGGTTTGGAAGGCCAGGACTCGTCCAAATCCGCCTTCATGGAGTTCGGGCAGCAGCAGCAGCAGCAGCAGCAACAGCAACAACAGCAGCAGCAGCCGCCGCCGCCGCCGCCGCCGCCGCCGCCGCCGCCGCCACAGCCGCACTCGCAGCAGAGCTCCCCGGCCATGGCAGGCGCACACTACCCTCTGCACTGCCTGCACTCGGCGGCGGCGGCAGCGGCGGCGGCCGGCACGCACCACCACCACCACCAGCACCACCACCACGGCTCGCCCTACGCGTCGGGTGGCGGCAACTCCTACAACCACCGATCGCTCGCCGCCTACCCCTACATGAGCCACTCGCAGCACAGCCCTTACCTCCAGTCCTACCACAACAGCAGCGCGGCCGCCCAGACGCGAGGGGACGACACAGGTGAGAGGCCGCTGGGGCAGCTCGCTTCTCCCGCCTCCCAGCTGTCCCCCACCCAGCCCGCCCTCCCCAGTCACTTCCTCAACGCCGGGGCCTCCGCCGGCCCCCTCCCCCAGAGGGCCCGGCGCGCCCCCGGCCGGGCTCCGTGCGCGCCTGCTCGCCTGGCGCCTGCCTGCCGGCCTCGCCTAGCCCGGCCCCTTCCCGCCGCCGCGGACCCTGGCTGCTTCGCTCCGCGGCGGGTCTCTCTTCCCCGCCTCCAGCGCGTCGCCCGGGCTGCGTCCTGGGCACTGCGCTGGCTTCCTCGGATGAGTTGACCCACACAGCGCTCTCCAGCTCGCTGGGTCTGTGCGCCTTTTGCCTTCTTCCTCCCTTCGGGCTGTGACTGGTGTTGGCCAGGATTGGGGACCCAAACTGGGGAGAGTATTTTGTTCCCCATGCCATGCCGGACTGCCAGTGGCCTACTTTGTGTCGGGAGCCCCGTTCATCTCCGTGACCCTGAGGGAGCTGGCGTGGCCTCGGGCTCTGGATAAACTGGTGACAATTGGGCTATTTCCCGTGGGCTTTGAGATGTCCCCAACCCCCATCCCCGACCAGGCCCCATCCTCCACGGTTTCCGATATTGTGTTGGCTGCTCCTTTGTTCGTAGAGGCAAAGCAGAGAGCATCGGGCCGGTGGTTCTAAGCAGGCAAGGGGGGGGGGGGGTCGAAGTTGCTTCAGGAGCTGATCTGGGCAGCTGGTGGTGCTTTGGGGTTTTGGTCCCTCTGCAGAATTATTTCTAACTCGCGGAGAGGGCTTGATGCACCAAGCTTGGACATTGAGTCAATCGACCTCGTAAACACCTCGGTGACTCAAGCACAGATTAAAGCACTACAACGTCAGGCCAAGAGGCCTCGGTCGGCGGAGAGCAACCGCCCCGCCGCGCACCCCAGCGAGCGTCGGCGCCGCCTCTGCGGCAATGGAGCACAGCTGTTTGTTCGAGGGCCTCGGGCGTTCCCTCGGTCCAGCCGCGCGCACTTCGTTAGGGCTAGGGGCTGGGTCGGGCAGAAACCCCAACATCGTGAATTGAGAGAGGTCAGAGCGTCGTGGGGGCGCTTCCATAAAACCCTTAGAGGGGTTTGAGTAGATCAGCTCAGGCCAGGCCATGCGCAGTGAAATGGTAGCAGTGGTCCAATGGGTGACCGCACCTCTGTGTCCTTTTGCTTGCAGATCAACAGAAAACCACAGTGATTGAAAATGGGGAAATCAGGTTCAATGGAAAAGGGAAAAAGATTCGGAAGCCTCGGACCATTTACTCCAGCCTGCAGCTCCAGGCTTTAAACCACCGCTTCCAGCAGACTCAGTACCTGGCCCTTCCCGAGAGAGCTGAACTGGCAGCTTCGTTAGGACTGACACAAACACAGGTAATTCCCGGGAAGCCCGAGTATCCCTGAGATACTGACCCTGCTGGCAATTTGGGCAGGGAGCACACCAGAAGGAATTCTTGGCCTAGTCAACCAAGGATGGAAAGAGCTTAGTGACGATGCCTTTGCTCCAGCTATGCATTTTCTGGGACAACACAGTTTGGAATAAACGACATGGTATTAAATATTAGATTGGATTTGCACATCCTCCAACCCTCTGCAGTCCCATCCAGTCTAGCATCCTTTGGTGACCAAACTCACAATGCAATTGAGTCCTATTCCAGAACACAGTGTCATGAAAGAGAACAAACATGTGAGAGGAAAAAGCATTCAGGCCAGGAGTCATAATAAGACCCACGTTTCTTAAGGATCTTTGCATTGGCCCTATAAGCTAATAAGGATTTTAATTCATTGTCATAAAAAGAAAAATTAAGAAGCGAAGGGGAGGTAAGCATAGGCTCCAATGGGGTTTAGGTAAAGTGATATAATAAAAACTATTTTTTCTAGGATGGCTGAAGCGGGTTTTTCTAAAGACTATCTAAGCTGAGTGATTAAATCATCTTGGGTGATGGAGTCCAAGCTCAGGCTGAGGTTCCTCTCTGGAGCACAGGACTTTAGGGCAATGGCAGAGTTGGAGATCAAAGAGAAATGCTCCCAGATTATAACAGGTGAAGCCACAGCTAAATTCAGTTACTGAAGTTCTCTCATCCTACTAATTTGAGTTTGAAAGACATATGGGGCAGGAATTTCAGAGTTCATAATAAAGGGCTTACCTGAGCATATTAGGACCCTAATAATAAGGCAAGGCTTCAATCACCTGTATCTCTGTCCTTGTCCATTAACTTCGCTGCATAGAATGATTGTTAGTCCCATCTGAGGTGGGCAATCTTCCGCAAGGGGACTTCAGATTTGTGAGACTGGCTGGAGAATGATGGTGCAGTGCCTTAAGACAGATACTCCTTAAACTCTTCTTTTCAATCCAACCTGCTTTCTCTTGCTGCCCTGCCCCTGAAATATGTAGGGTTTGATATGAGGGGATTTCTGCTACTCAGTGAGTTATATTACTCTTGGAAAAGCAGATTGCTGTAGCTAAGGATTTTTAAAGATACAGAAAACTGCACCAGAGAAATGCCTTCTTCACACAAAACAGATCTGGAATGTTGGCCTAGATGTGCTTGCATCCCAGGTTCCTGATTCAAATTTAATTTTCAGAAGCTCTTTGACTATTCCCGACTGACCTAACAATCTGATGATTGTTGATCACATTTGACTAAGCAATTCACAAAGTTAAGAATGAGGGAGATGCAATTCCTACTCCCTGTGGAGTTAAGTGGATATATTTGGCTGGGGAAACAGGCTCCAGGCATAGTCTGTGGCATGTGCAATATATGCATAGATATATTTAGGGTGTTTGTTTATAAATGTTTATCTGTTCATAGTCATTTGATCACTGTACATGCATAGAGCCAGCCAAATTTTGGGCTTGGTGATTGTAAAAACACAGACTATCAGAGGAGGTCCATTCAATTATATGACTCTAATCAGTAAATCAGTCTGTTAAAAATCTTTAAACTTTGAACCTCATTCAGCTATCTCATTCATCTTTTTTTAACTTTATTCTTATTTTTCTCGTTGTTTTAAATCCAGTCTAGCACCCAATTCAAGAACTACAATGACTGTAGGTATCCAGACAAGATACCTAGTATGTCTAGTATATGATGGTGTGTGTGTGTGTGGGGGCGGACTGGAAAAAGGTGGAGGGAGGCGGAGACTTGAGGGTTTATTTGCGTTTGCGGTGGGGCTTTTTTTTTTTTTGCATATTGCTTCCAAAGCCATGACTGACTTTAGAGCCACTGATCCGATGAATTTTTTTGGACCTAACGATAGCTGCATATCCTTATAGGTGAAGATATGGTTTCAGAACAAACGCTCCAAGTTTAAGAAACTGCTGAAGCAGGGCAGTAACCCGCATGAGAGCGACCCCCTCCCGGGCTCGGCGGCCCTGTCGCCGCGCTCGCCGGCGCTGCCTCCAGTGTGGGACGTTTCCGCCTCGGCCAAGGGCGTTAGTATGCCGCCCAACAGCTACATGCCCGGCTATTCTCACTGGTACTCCTCTCCGCACCAAGACACGATGCAGAGACCACAGATGATGTGAGTTGTCCGAGGGAAATCGCTACCATAGGGAAACTTCCGGACAAGGCAAGGAGGATCTGGGACCTGCTTGCATCTGCCAAACGGAGCCGAAGGAGCAGGCTCGGGAGAACTCGTACAGGTGGCGAGGGACTGGCTGGGCGCTTGCTCGCTCTTTCTCTCTCACTCGCTTCCTTTCTAACCCTTCCCTTTCCTTTCTTCCCTTCTTTCCTTTCCTCTCTCCTCCTCCTTTCCTCTGTACCTTTCTTTTTCTTCTTTCCTTTCCTAACCTTGTCTATTTTCACCTTTGAGCAACCTCAGTAATTGATCTTGCAACTCAGAGAGAGGGAGGGAGAGGTTTCTATGCCAGCGTTCCAGAAACCCCTCACTGTAAGGAAAATTTCTCTTTCCCTTTGGGAATCCAGGCTTTGAGCCTCCTCTTCTCTTTGGGAATATCCATCAAAACGACTTTTTTACAGACACTTTTTTTTCCCCACCAGAAGAATCTGTGCAAACATGGCAGCGTTTTTACTTGTTTAATGAGCTTAAGACATTACATGATGAAAAAGAAGCATTTCAGACTCCTGTGTTTTTATTTACCAATCTCAGACTGACCAAAAAAGAAAAAACCCTCATAACAGCCCTCAAAAGAAAAAGAAAAATCAGCTGTAAGTTTAGAATGTTGTCACAAAAGGAATGCTGCATGTTTTATCAAAATGGAATGGGCAGAAATGATGGGAAACAAAACAAAACAAAACCACTCTATCCCCATCCAGACCCCAAACCCTGAACTGGAATCAGGAAAGACAGAACGAGGAACGAACCAAATCACCATTCTGTTACTTTGACACCTTTCCTAGGTGAATTGGTGGCATTCACTAAGCTAACAGGGACGTTTATATTGAGAACATTTCTGTATATATTGTTGAATTTTAGTTGTACATATACTTTGTATGTTTTTGTCTTCTTTCATATATGGAGTAAAAGCCACAAAATGCTGGGAGTGTCCTGTATATTTTTCTCTGTGTGCTTCTGTTTCTCTCCCTCCCTTTCTTTTCCCTCCCTCCAATTATATTTTCTATCATTCTTAAAACAAGTTCTATTTCCTAATATGGGAAGCCCTACCTAGAAACATCAAGTGCCTTCAAAGATTCAGTTTGTACCACTGAATACCCTAACATTAGCCATGGGTATGTTCTCAGTTTCCTTTACCTACTAAATTTCTGTTGTAATTTCTATACATTTATCTAATTTTTAAAAAAACATTAGTATGCCCTATCCCCATTGAACCCTACACATTCAGTAGTTTCCAGAGCTGAAACTGAGTATTCTCCTTTCCCTTTCCCCAGTCAAAATAATACAGTTGTAACTGTCTTTGTTTGGAAGCTTTTTTTTTTTTTTTTTTAACAAGAAAATGAAAGAATAAAAAAAGAAAGTGAATGAGCAATTATAACTACTTAGTGTTTAAAACCCTTTGCAAGCTAGGTAGGTAGGAAAATACACTATCCTGGATGAAATACATCCTTCCGATCTTGTGGAAAGCACAGAAATAATGAAAATGAAAAGTCTTTTCGTCATACAAGCAGGAAACCCCATACTGTGAGAATTAATGGCTACAGACCTGGGCATCCTTCAAATTATGAACCTTGAAACCACTGAGCCATTTATCAGAAGTCAATAGAGATACTCAGAGTGCTCCATATAATGACAGCGACATACAGTCGTGCAAAAGGACAGTCACTATAATTAGACACAAAGCAAAGACTACTTACCAATATACCCGTTCCTTTTTTTGTTGAGCAACTTCCACGCTCAGTCAGTCTTCAGAATGGTTTAAAACCGATCAGTCTTGTCATTTTCTAGCATTCGCATTGTTACATTAGGAAAAATGTTTTCTTTTCTTTTTTCCCCCTTCCTACTGTGAAACTTTGGGCTCGTAGCTCCCCAGGATCAATTCTGAACAAAGCCTCCAGCTGCAGTGCCATCCAATTTGAAGCAGACATTGGGGACAATTTAAGGTTTTTATCCACAAGAAGGTTTTTTTCCATTCTCTTAAATGCAGCCATAATTAGAGTAATTTTTCATGTAGCCCGCTGATTACAGCGTTTTTACCGTCAAAGATAATTACCTGTAATTTTCTTCCACTTTTAATACTAAAAAGCCATCTTTATTTAGATTCAGGAACAGGAAAGGCGAAACAAAAGAGGGAAATTATTCTGTTATTCATACACAAATTGCAGAGACGTAGGACCTAAAATTGAAAATTAACCAAAATTATAATGCTGAAAAGAATGGAAGAGGCTGTGGAAGTACAGCTGGTAGTGGGGCTTTGCTGAATTATTCAAATGACGTTAGAGAAAAAGCTACCATACATCAAAACCAACACTCATTTTTCTTTTTAAAAAATCCACCAAATACATGCCAAACCACTATGAGTGCGTGGAATTCTAAAGGCCAAGCAAGTGCAGGTTAACATGGGAGGAGGAAGTCACGATGTGTGTATGTTGATTTCTCTGTATCTTAACATAAATTCAATTAAGAATTTCTGCCAAGGGGTCCTCCCAGAATTGTCCTTAGAACTAGGGTTTTTCTGAATCTCAAGGGTTAGTATTTCACTCCTTAGGAAGGATTGACCCTATAGTAAGCCGATTCCCAAGGGAGGGGATGGTAGGAGGGGCGTGGGCGAAAGACGTCGTCGCCCAGTCACAGTGCATACTACTCCCTCTCTCTCTAGAAATTCTCCGGAGGTTGCAGAGTTCGAGTTCTAAAGCTTCGTTCTGACCACATTTCCCATTTAAGGAAAAAAAAAAAAAAAAGCTGCGGGAGGGGGAAGGTGGCCGGGGTGGTGGTGGTGGTGGTGGCGGTGGCGGTGGCGGTGGTGGTGGTGGTGAAGGGACGATATCTCCAGGGCTCCAATAAGCATCTCATTATCTTTTGACACAACTTAGTCCAAAGGTTTCCGCCATTAGAGAAAGGCCTTTCCGCACTTGGGTGGGGGAGCCAAAGATTTCTCAGTCTCCTGCACTTAACATCTCTAGCTGCCTGCAACGTCTACTGGGCCAGGAAACAGCGTCATCTGTAGATAGAACAGCACCACTTCTGGAAAGGCTCTTCCTCTGTGCTTTTCTAATTCAGACTGGTTTGTAATCTTGGCTCCACAGCTGAGTTCAACGACTCAGCCACCCCTACCCTTCTAAGCCCACGGGCCACGCCGTTTGGGCCCAGCACAAAATACCGCAAGATCCGCATCCGCATCCCGCCTCCTCACTTCTCGCCAAGACAACACCAGCTTGAGGCAAAGGCCCTGGAAAGCAGCCATGAGGATTTTCAGAAGCCTGTTATTCCACAAACTTTTCCCCAAGTGAAGGATAGATGTCAATGGGACTACATTGCCCAGGAATTCAGACTACATCTGCCTTTGAAAATGTCCGCATTACCTGTGACACCTACGGAGCCCCGCCCTGACGCCCCAAAACATAAAATCACCACCACTTGTAAATACCTCAATGGATTTGGCTAAGACTAGCTTCTATGAACAATTTTCAAAAAGATTTTAGTTTGGAATCTCCAGTTGGCTCCCTACACACCTTGCAGAAACCTGGTCTTTTTCCCAGTCTCCAGTCACAAGCCTCACCAAATTAATCAGTAACATAGAAAGCAAGAAAGACAAATGGATTTCTTAGGGAAACCATTCCCACCCTCATCCCCTTTACTCACCCAGAACACAACCCTTTTACTCTTTAAGGGGAATGAAAGGTCAGAATTGAAAAATCTATGAAACAAAGTTGTAGTCCATGATAAATTACAACAGCAACACATATAGCTTTGAAAGTATGAGAAGAGAAATATGAACTGTCCCTTGAAGTATGCAAGAAATAAAAACTTACCCGCAGTGAATATCTCTTAAGCAACGTTCAGGGTCTAGAAATCTATACTGAACAGAAGCAGAGGAGAATATTTTTCTGAGTCTCAGGGCAGAAGCTCTTTCTCTATATTCTTGGTTGAGTGAGCACATCCAGGTGTGAAATTGTTTGCACACCCCAGCACCTCTTATATTGCCAGCAAAATTAGCTGTTATTACTGTCACTGTTTAGTGATGGTTAGCGTGATACAAAAAAAAAAAAAAAAACTGCTGTAATCAAGACCTGGCGCATCTTTGCAAATTACAGATAATTGTAAACGTCCAGATTATGATAATAGCATCCTAATCCAGCCTGCAATATAATTATTACGGTGTTACATCTGAAACTGTCCAGTAGGGCTAATTCAGCCATTATTTAGACCCTATTTTTGCACTGCAAATGGGTTGCTGAGTTGAAAATGTACGATTGTAATTTCACGGGGCACTCAATGAGTAATGGTATAGGAAGAGGAAAATACAAAAGTGAAATGTGAACAGTAGCGATCAAATCAAACCCTGAAGGACAAAAGACTGTTTGATTCATATGGAAAGAGAAGAGTGGGGAATTAAGAAAATAGCAAATCAGTGGTCTGAAGCATTACATGTCCAAATCTTCACTACGTGCAGGCTGATGTGTTTGCAAAGGCTGCTGCATCTGCTGCTGCATGGAGTCTGGAATAATTTCTTTCTTTCTTTCTTCTTCTTCTTCTTTTTTAATTTTATTTTATTTTTAGAATTTCTGTCTTTTTTACCCTGTCTCCTAAAGCATTTCCCTTTTTTTAAAGTGCCCCTCCCCCAAAGGAAAGAACATTTGTCAGTTTTACCATATTTTCCCAAAAGTTGGCCTCAGAGCATACCTGTCACTTGTTTATGATCATTTTCTTAAATGAATTTGCAATCTCTCTTGTCATTTAGAGAAAAATGCCCTGGGTGCTTGAAAGTGTTCCTGCGCTCTATCTGCATTCTCTATTATGGTGAACAAGTCATCAAAAGTCCTAAAGGATATTAGCAGAATATGTATTAATTGCTGCTAATTAAATAAAGCCGACTGGGAAGCTGCCTCCTTCACTCAACATGGCTGGCTATTGGTTTTAATCCCATCATTAACTTTTATTAATCAGTCCTCCAATATAAATCAGTCCAGCTGCTTCTTTTGCTGCAAGTCACCAATAGGTTTCTTTCTGTGTTCCAGAAAGTCCAGTTTTGTGTGCTTTTGATAAACGACAGTTTCCCCCTGCAGATAATGGCTGTAAAAGAGCAAGATCAGTCTACTTCAAATATCGGGGATCAAAAAAGAGGGGACCAGAGAGTTAGATGAAGAGATGCTGGTGAAAGGCTGAGGGACTGTGCTGGTCCCAGGGTGAAAGAAAGCGTTCTGGGGGTTCAAGCTGTTGCCTCAAGGAGGATGAACCCTGCTCTGAAGGGGAGACCTCAAAAGTTGTCTTCTAGTTCCTCTTGGGGACCTCTTGGTCAGGAATACCTAAAGTCCATCTATCCCTGGGAACTCAATCCTCTCACCATAAGCACAGTGAATTCCTTGGGCATCTTTTCCAGCCCTAGTACGGTGCGGTGATGATTCTCTCTCCTCCCATCACCTCACAGACCTGGGAGCTCCCCAGCCAGGGCCACCCCACAGGATGGCAAGTAGGCTTCTTAACCCCTTTGAATTTAAGGGCAATAATGAAATGTCCCTCGTTTAGTGACCTCTGTTCACAGATGAAAGTGGAGTCCATATCCTGCCTCTTCCCCACCCTTCCCCACCACCTTGCAAATGGCAAGTGACAGAAATAGTCTCAGATGACAATAAGCTTCCAGTGGCAGATTTCTGTCTTCTCGCCTTTTCAAGGGGAAAAAAAAAAGGTTTAAAATAAATCATAGCTGTGAACTGTTTACTGCCCTTCACCCTCACCCATTTCTTAAAAAACAAAAACAACAACAACAACAACAACAACAACAAAAAAAAAACAGTAGACTGTGTATGGTGTGTGGATTCCACAGAGAATCATTACTAAAGCTGGGAGGGGGGACAGAGAGAGGGAGAGGGAGATGGGGGAGGCAGGCAGAAAGAGAGAGAGAGAGAGAGGCAGAGGGGGGGGAGA